AAATAATTAGATCTATTAAAAAATTTAAAAATTAATATGCATGATGTATATAAATATAACTTTCAATCTAATAATTAGTTTTTAAAAATATTAATTACAAGTTAAATTTTTAAACATACTCTCTAAGAAAATTTTAAGAAATCGATTGTAAAATTTTTTTTAAATATTAAATATTAAATTTATTTTACATATTTTACAATATTAAAAAACCAACAAACCTACTGCCACATAGCACCATTCCTAAACAACACTTAAATATATAAACAACAACGAAGCAAGTCACACTATACAGCAATATACACAGCCTCTTTTTTTTTTTCTTTTCATAAGAAAAAATATAATATTAAATTAATATCTATTAAAAAAAATTAAATCTAAAACTTAACCTGCAAACCAAATTACATTCCACCTATCTTTCACTTAAAAAAAGCGTTACTGTTACTGCGACCATGGCCACGGCCACACTTGGGAATGCATACACAGCCCTTGTTTGTTACATGTTTTTCATCGTTTGGCTTGCGTTTTTGGGATGGGCTTTTTATATGTAGATATTTATTGGACTCGGGTTCCCCACTTCCCAGTCCAAGACTAATAATTACGGTATTTGGTAAATATTTGACAGCTTCTAAAATCCATATCTCTATGAATCAACCACCGGTAAGCGCTGTTGTGTTCGAAGCTGGCTTCTAGTTGTTGGGAGGGACGCTGGGAGTCAGGGTACTGGGAAAAGGAGAATGGAGGAAGCAAAAGGAGTCGTGAAGCACGTACTGCTAGCCAAGTTTAAAGAAGGAACCACACCTGAGAAGATCGAAGAACTCACCAAGGGCTATGCCGATCTTGTCAATAGGATCGAGCCCATGAAAGCTTTCGAGTGGTAAGGTCACAGAAATCCCTCTACTTTCAATCTCCTCTTCTCCTAATTTGCACGATCTAGTTTTTCTTCTTAAGATCTGAATAATTTTGAGATAAACCCACTTTCCCTATTGTTGATTCAATGGGCTCCTCACAAGTAACCAGGATAAGAGTAATGGGTCTATCTCTGTGGGACAAATCTAATCCATTGATCTCTAAAGCATCGATTTTTTTCTTTTTATGATTCATAAGGCATCAGAATGTATATGATATACTGCGTATAACTTGAGTTTTGTGAATCCTAATTATGATGTGTGTGAAAGTTGCAGAATTGATACCTGAACAATGTTTTATGATGCCCATTTAAAAGTTGAGGTAAGCTAAAGTGTGTCGTATGTTGTAACAGGGGCAAGGATGTGAGCCTTGAGAACTTGCACCAAGGTTTCACTCATGTCTTTGTATCTACTTTTGAGAGCACAGAAGGAGTTGCAGAGTATGTAGCTCATCCTGCCCATGTTGAATTTGCAACTTCTTTCTTGGCCCACACAGAGAAGGTTGTTGTAGTTGACTACAAACCCACTACTATTCGTTTCTGATTTATAATGTGGAAAGCAAGAGCTGAATTCCTCAGTATTTCTGTTGTAATAAATAATATACTGTTGAACTTATTTGAAAGTTGATGTATTCTATGATGATAATGGTGAAAGCAACTGGATTTGCTTTGGGTGTTTTCTAAACTGGAATCTCTTCCTATGTCTCTCATTGGTAGTCAATCTTTTAGTGTTTTTTTTTTTTTTATGATCCAAATGAGCCATTCTTTGTCATTTTTACGTGCTTGGTTGTAGTTAAGTGAAGTCAATGTCCTGGGTTTAGTTATAGGATTGAAATCAAACTAGTCAAGAATTAAAGATTTAAAAGAGCTATCTTGAGAATTATGTACAGCATGTGTCAGGGATACCCACTAGGTATTCGATAAAATTCCTCAGCGAGCTTGGAGTTGATGATGGTGAGACCTCTGCAGGGCATAGTTTTGAGATGGATCTTCAGGTATTGGGCTATAGTTTTGCTGCTAAAAGATACGGAATAAGTGCATCTAGTGAT